GAAGCGCGCTGTGAGAGTCCGTGAAGATCACCACTTTATTGCAGAGTTGGGGGAGGCATCTTTTAGTGCTTCATGGGTTGCCCTCTGGATTCTGCATGGTAGACAGACGACATCTTATTTAATTTTTCTGCGTCTTTATTGTATTTATATCCTGGGTGCCAACGAATCAGAGACAAGCCAATTTCTATAGTATTAGGTGTATCAAAATGAGATTTGGTACAGGTAAATGGTACGTGAAGAGGACTGTTTTCGCATATTTTTCTCTTTTCGCTCACTTCCGGTTTCACCGGAAATGGTCCATGTTTTGAATTTGTAAATTGAACACCCTGTATATTTTTATATTTTTGGCCTTCACCTTCATGAGGAACTCTCAAAACAGTCCAAAATCAAAACACCATCATCTGTTTGGTTCGGAGGAGATTTCTCCTTAATTTTTTTAAACAAGGTTGTCTTAGGTTTTATCTGTATGCAAGCAATTAATTACCGATTATCGGTGGAACTGTCTTTAGAAGTTGAGTCGTATGTTAGAAGGAACCTGATGATCCTTGGTTTGCTGTCGGTTGCTCAGTGGCTAAGTTTTTTGTTTGAAAGGCATTTGCTTGCGGCATGTCCTATTAAATTGCAAGAGAAACATTTGCGAAGAAAATTCTATTGGTTTCATTATTATCCCTAACAATCACAAAAGCGTTGTGATTCTTCCTCTAAGTCGATATATACTTGTCTACGAAAGCTATACACGTGTGAAAAAAAACAGTATCCACTTAGGACCTAGATCTATTCTTGTTATTTATGGAAAAGTTTACTTAATAAACTTATATTTACGAAAGAAATAATTATTTTCTATCCATGCGTTCAGATGTCTACACTAGAAATATTACACGAGACCAGGGGATCAATAATGAGTCGTCTATTTATATAAGTAGCCCGCACTTAGATTGAATGAACCTGCTAGAAGTAAGAATAACAAAGCCGTCGATTAATAAAACGTTATTGCTCTATCTGAGTAAAATTTGCTTATAAAATTGAAATGAGGCTTATTATCTTTGTTTGGCCTATGAAAATTTTATTATTATCTACTGGGGTAATATACTATAACTTATATAAGTTATCAAAATGGTTATAACACAAGTTAGCCAGTTTAATCGTGACAGTAAAAATATGTACCTATAAAGATTTTATTGGGCTACGGTGGGGTTTGCATTATATACTTGCATTAAAGTCACCACGTCTCGTGTATTGATTCTACTAAGCGTCACAGCTGATATAAATAAACGATATGGATATACAACCGTGAGAGAAAGGGTTGCACCTTATGCGCCAATGTACTTAGGTAACATTTATGGTCGTATTACAGGCAAGTTTTCTTTTTTTTTCAACCCACTCCCGTTGCCAAGCTGGGAGCCGAATTTCACATTAGTTCCACCTGCTGTGTCCAACTCATGCTTTTTTTTGTTCCTCATTATTTCCTCGGCCATTTATGATGAGTTCAGGTGGGGTTTTTGCCCTTATCAGGTTCCACTTTTGGCAAACGAAGGGAGAGATCTCCCTCCCGGCATTGATTTGCGTTTTTAATCTTAAATTTTTTGAAGTAGCTGACAACGTTACCGTGTCTCGTTTCGTAGCCCTTTTTACATCTTCAATGAAGGTTTTAGTCCACTTGTGCTTGATAATAATTCCCATTCCGCTTGCCAAACTTCCACGGTATGTTTTCTCGCCTTTGTTTTGCTTAACTTTTTCTGGTATATATCGCCTTTTGCTCTTTGATTTACAGTCTGATGAGGGGCTTCCTTTGGATCGCTAGCGTCCTCCCCATATATGGGTCCCGTACAGTTGGCTGAACATCGCAGGGCAGGCCTTTTCTTTGTTTTTGGGCCACCCATGTTGAGGGCGCTCCTGCTCAATATCGCTATTGTATTGTCGGTTCGGTCGGTATGGTTCTTGTACACGAAGGTCTTATGTCAGTCGTAGGTAAATGATGATAGACCCTTTACTCCTGGGGGGTATTTCGCCTGGGGCGAATGGAATACTCTTAGTACACGAAGATAATGTTAGTTGTAGATAAATGATGATTGACCTTTTACTTTCCCTGGGAAATATTCCGTACCCTCCAGGCTCCCCGACATTTTTAGTACCCTTCGCACTTGCGTGAAAATGTTTGATTGAAACAGTCGTTTAGGGCTGCACATTTTAAGGGTGAACATGTAATCTTTGGATGAGGGGGGATGGAATACCCTCAATGCACGTAGGTTTTATGTCTTCGATAAACTCAACACCTGTGTTTACTTTCTGCGAAAGCACCTGCTTATCTCCAACTTATTTAGCTTTTACGCGGCGCTAACAAACTTCTTATCGCAAGACCGGATTTATAAGAGATAAACTTTTAAAATAACACAACGCAGTTACGTCCAGATGTCCCGAATATTTTTTTACGTAATTTCACTAAACAATAAAGCAAACAAAAACAAAGCGGTTGTTAAAACAAAATTAACACTTAATAATTATGGTACAAAATAACATTGACTCGGAATTCAAATAATATGATCTAAAGTCAATAGGATTCAGTTTTTTTTTAATTTTTCTCGATGGAATTCGTGCGTCAGAAAACTGTATCATAGTTATTTTCATTTACAAAACGTTTTCCCAACCTAATGGCGAAATACATCTTGTTAATATGATCTAATTCTCTCAGTCCGCTGGAATCACCTCTCATGTCTGAAACTTTTCCTAGAAGGAACTCGTTCATTGGTTTTCCCACCTTTTTACGCACGCTGCCGCACTTCGGTGTTTGCAGCTGTCATTGAAGTGGCCCTCTTGTCCGCTTTACTTATTTCTGCGGGAAAATGATTCAAATAAAGGCTCTGGTTACAGGGAGTACAGCGTTTTAAAGAACAATGGTTGACTTCGTTATTAGATTTCATATGGAACGGGCGTCAAATTAACTATTGAAAAATAGGAAGGGGTTAGTCTGGGAAGTTTTTGAAAGCATTGGGTCAGTGAATCGCGTTCGGTTGCCGAAAAAAATGTCCCAGAGCGAAGGTTCCTACTCGATTGGACATTGATCGTTAATTTCTACCGAGTTTTCCCAAAATCTTATAATTAAAAAAGGGCGAAAACAATTAATTTATGTTAAGTCTTCGTATTCAGCGCTCTTTTGTACCACATGCCCTTTAAATCAGAAAACAAAAAAGTGGGTATTAGGTTCCGGATGTCTGGCGGCGAGATGTCGCTGTAACTAGATAGCCGATCAGACCAACAGAAAAATTAAAGTCTGAACATTAATATAATAATGGTGTGCATCTAAAGATGGGTAATTCGACTAACATAACGTAACCGTAGGACTATGCACTTCTGGTATCAAATTATACGATACGTAATACAATGTATTTGTAGCATGAATATTAATAGCAATCTAATTAGCAATTCACCCCCAGATTTAGATGCTAATATCAAGTTATATTCATTACGGGTAATGGAATATATCTTTTGATCGTCACTGAACAACCTGACAATTATGTGAGTATTTTAACCGGGTGCAAATTTCTATTTAACCGCAGAACTGCCTTTTTATTCTGGATATAGAATTACCTACTCGACACCCTAAAATTGTAATTTACGCGTAATATTGAAGAGAAACTCAAATTTCTGTAGTAATATGATAAAGACACTACAAAACACAGCTTCCGCCTGTTAATGGCTTCCTTCGAATTTATGCTGTGAAATTTTTCTCGTTTGCGCTCAGCAACAAGTGGGCGTCAAGACGCGAATAAAGGGCAATTATCTTTAAACGCAATTTTTGTTCTAAAGTAAAACTGTTTTTTTTTAGTCTAGGCCGCAAAAATTGAAATTGCTAGTTGGGGAATTTTAATATTTTCCACATTCTCAATATTGAAATAAACGTGGGAAGCGAGAGTGGTTAGGTTCTGATGAGTGTCACTTTATTCTCAAATTTCGTCGAGGGATTACATTGCCATTCTACTGTGTGATATTCGATATCAGAGAATTGTAAAATCGTAAAGTGTGTTAATATTTTAGATGTTGGTACGAGTTGCGCACTTTTAGTGTCACCTTTCGATTGCCGTTGTGATTGGTTCGGTTATTGCTAATGAATAAAATCACGAAACGCTGTAGGAACAAAGAAATTTAATTTTTCGTCGGTGTTTGCTTTCGTTATTTGTAAACATTAGTTGTCAATACAGGTTGAAACGACTACTAATTTGCACTTTTTTTCAATTTGTTGTACTAATATTGCTTTATATATCGAGTGGAAATGCAGAATTTGCGTTATGGAAACTACTTTCATTTAAAACATGCCAACTAGATATTCCTTTTTTTTTCTACAAGTCCTCTTCCAGCTTTAATATTAATAAAAACAAAAAAATATATTTACAAAATGAAAGCGTTTCGACAGCAAATTAGAAGTTTTTTGAAACGCGTTCAATAATCTGAAGGATATTTAAAAAATATTTAAATAACCTTGGAAGATCTTTATTAAAGATAGGTACATGGTTCTTTGAAGAATTTACGCAGAATTAATGAACTAAAGGACCTGCCAGGAAAAACAATGAAAAACAATTGATGTTAAGATATACAGGACGTTGCTTTTCAAAAATACCAACTAAGGGTCAAAATCATTTGATTCAAAGGAACCTCGCCCTTGAAATTGCTGCTTCGAATTTTTTTTAAGGAGTTTCCTTAGAAGAAAATATTCCGGAGGTCTGGGTCGAGTATTTGGGGCGAATATGACGGATGTGAATATTCTGTTTACCTGTGAACTTTGTTTGCTTGTGGCAAAACACACTCAATTTTTCTATAAAGTGTAACAGAATCTTCAATATTTTCAGAACAGTGCGAAAGATTTGTCGTGAAAATAATATATTCAATTGACGACAAGAATGTGTTCATTTTATGTAAAAATGGGAATGAAATAAGATAAGATAAAGTGTTATTGTCGCCATATAAAAGCAAATCCATGGGTATATTTAAGCAGTCCACTATTAATAGTATCGGTATTCAAAATGAATGCGATTATCGCAGTTTATCCATATATATAAGTATATATATGAGTTTATCTAACAGTTTGTTTAATTTTATTACCTTTTTTAACAAATGCGTCCCGGAAAGTATTTGAAAATCTTGATCCCGGTCTGGTGAGTATAATAATTTCTACCGTTATTTTCCTTTAACACGTTTTGCAGAGATCAAAAATACCTGACCAAGTTATTAGAATTTGGGAGCGCATGATGGCGCCAAATAACGAATATTGCGTACAAGAAAGCGGAATTAATCCGAACCGCGTACGAGACATCTTCGAAAAAATGGATATGTCAATTGATCGTCTTGACTGTTTCGCAAGATGTCATTATCAGAGATTGGGATTTGTGGATTTTGAGGAAAAATTTTATCCAAAAGTAATGGCGAGCACAATTCATCGTTTGTCTGAGGGAATAGCCGAACACTGCATACATAAATTTAAGCAGGAAAAAAATTTTTGTCAAAGAGTACTTTTAATAGTTAAATGCAATCTTAATTTAATTGCTAAGCAGTATTAATGAAATTCATGAATGCGTTATTAGTATTACTTATTGCCGTTTAAACGTTATTCTATCCAGTTTTTTTAAGTTAATATACGAATGGTAATTGAATAGTAATTAGGTAAGTATTATACAACTGTGCTCCCACTTTCTCATCGAGACTCTGTGTATGTAGATATATTTGGTTTATTGCACAGAAAAGACAGTTTTGTGTAACAAGAAGAACAAAGATACGAAGAATCGCATACGATTTTCAGTAGGGGAATTTTTTTCCACTCAGCTCGTATTCGGAAACCAGACTTTTGATCCGGCTCATACTCAATAGCACTGTTCCTTGAACTCGTAGAAATCTATTGGTGAAGGTTTGATTATGACATGATTTTTTCCCGCGACTTTTCCTTAATCTACCGAGTGCGGCCGAGTACGGTATAATCATACATGATGCGACACCGCTGTCTTTTCTGCTTCAACGAAACTGTAGTTGATACCCATAACGCAACATAAGCACACAATGCTAAAAGTGTAAGACAAGTTGGGTGAGTCCGACGAGAACAAATCAAAATAACGTAGCAGGTTGTGATATTTCGTTGTATAGACTAACCATTTTTTAACTAATTTAGCTGTTAGTTTTTATTACGCGACGCATAATTTTAACATTATTCTGAACGAACCGAACGCGTTTTCTTCCACTGCCATGTGTTATTTTCGAGGTTATTTTACTCTCCCAATAGTATTCGTCCCGTCCCGTCTGGTATTTTAAAATTGGCGTATGATACAAAGAGCATTTGTATATCGTTTCCATTTATCGATCTAAGTAAAGTTTCACAGAAGTTTATCCACCCTTGTTCTACTTGTAAAGGAACATGGTGTGATCTGTGAAACTTTGTTTTAAATCAACCGGTTAAAAATAACCGGAAAATCACATTCAACCAAAATGTATAAATAGGCCGTGAAGAAAACGTTTGTCTTAGGTCTACACAGAAAAGACAGAATTTTATGTAACAGGAAGAAAAAAACAACAAGAATAAGGAGTTATGATCTTTTTTTCAGGCAGACAGCTACTCAAAGTTTGCGAGCATTTATTGCTTTACCCATTACTGTCCAGTACTTAGAAAACTATATAGTCAATCCAGTTGAAGCAAGCCACCCTCTATAACTCATTTCCCATCGGGAGTATGTAAAAAAATTGTGAAACACGTCAACTTTGGTTTTCAGGGAGGCAAATTTCTATGTAAAAATCAACATCTTATCAGCTACCCTCTCTCTCATGTCAAAAATTTCAAATGGGAATAATAGTAGAAGTGAAACCTTGCCTTTCAAGTCTGGATCCCCAACCCTGCAAAATTTTTATCATTGCCACGAGAAGTCAATCAGAAAAAAATAATTAAATATAGTTACGAGTAGGTACAGGGTTGGATGCAGAATTGAAAATGGTTTAAATAAGGTGTCACTCGACTATTATTCCCATTTGAAATATTCAACAGTAAGTTGTTATGGGGAGGGAGTGGGCTGTCAAGGGGGTTGATTTTTACGCAGACTACGGTTAAAGTGTTTCACCATTTTTTACAGTCTCAATATGAAATGCCTTCTTAAGGGTATTAACTGGAAAAGAAAAGGAAACTATAGGTATAAAAAAGTTTGCCATTTGGCGCAGACATTCGGATGTATACCTAACGAAAAAAATGTGTCTTCAGTTACGTTTTACATTTGATCAGCGTTTCAATAAAATTGAATGTTCAGACAGAATGAAATATACTTACTTCGAACTCGTCTTTTGCGAAACAAAGGACAATGAAGTGATGAGTTTTCTGATGGAAATATACTTTCTCCAACTCAATTTTAAAATGTGTCACTGTTTAATTAGCAAAGTACAGTTTTGTACAATTCGTGATCAATTTTGTGCGGAAAAGTGGGAATCCGATGTTTTTACCATAAATAGAGTATGCTGAATCCGAATTCGTCGGAGGCCCAGCTGAATTTAACCTCCTTGGCCTCAAATTCGGCAAAACAAAATGGCGAACAAACTCTTGTTTTTAATAAATTCCGATTTTTCGTTATAACTTGAAAACTATTGTAGATAATTTGATGAAACAAATCAAAATAATAAAGCACATTACGACAATTCGAAATCAAAGATCAGAAGGAAGGCGAAATGAAACTCTCAGCAACTTTGAGTAGATTTACCTTGTTTTCCCGGGAACTCAGAAACCCTCGGAGAGAGTGCACATGCGAAGAATAGTGAAATGTGCTATGGATGCACGTCCAGATGCGCTTCCGCTTTGTGCAAGTGCAAAAGACAACCACGCGTTGCACATGTAAATGCGAATAAGAGCACTTCTGTATGAACGATAAATCTGATTCAGAAGAGGAAATTTAAGAATATAAAAACCTAAATAGCAACCGTTGGAAAATATAAAAACATATTATACGGATCATTTAAGATTTAAGTTCCTCCGAAGTTATATTAGTATACAGTACCGCATTAACAAATGGTCCAGAATTCTCGATAGACATCGAGGCACCATGAAAGATTAGTCATCAGCGATGAAGATCAAAGGTGGATGTGACGCAATCTTTTCGGGAAATATGACGCGTTTGTCATTCTAGAAAACTCGATGTGTTCGGAAGCATTCGAAAGATTTCGAGAAAGAGGGAGGTTTGTTATATAAGCAAATCGGATTGTGAGTCAAGAGTTCCAATTTCAACGCCGAAGTTCGCGCTGTTATAAATTGTGTATATGTGAGTCATAAATAATATTTTAACAGTTTTAAGATTTACTGTTAATTAAATATAAATTAATCAATTAATTTTACGTTACAGTATCAATAATGTCTTTTCATAAGTTGTTCCACATTATTAGATTACATGTTGAAAGAGAATATTTGTTGACTATAATGAAGCGAATCTTAAGGGGACGGAGCGAATTTGCTGGGGCAGGTATTCCTTAGTCCTTATATCAAGGACTAAATTATAAAGATTAAAGCATCCAGAGACCAACATTCTGAAACGAATTATCTGGAAATGCAATTATTTGCAACGTGTATTTACGTAAGATAAACAATCTAATTACTTATATAGATCAATATTGAAATGTTGCAATCAATTCATGGGGAACACATTAAGATAAAACACAGTGTTGCTAGATATAAATACAAGCTTATGACTATCAAACGCACAGTCTACTAGAAAAATGAAATTCTTCGCAGTGTATCTAGCGCTTTGTTTGGTGTTATCGCCATCTCTAACCAACGCTGAAGATCTGGATCTTGATGTTGTAAGTATAATAACTTTCAATATTATTTTCGTTCAATGTGCCTTCTTTAGGAAACTAAACTGCCTAAAGAGATAATTAAGTCTTGGGAAAACTTAATGGTTTCAAATATGGAACACTGCATAGCAGAAAGTGGAATTGATCCAAAACGCGTATCGGATATATTTGGCAAAATGGACATGTCAATTGGTCATCTTGACTGTTTTGCGGAATGTCACTATAAGAAATTGGGATTTATGGATTCTGACCACAAATTTCTTCCCAAATTAATGGCGGAAAAAATTAGTGGTTTAACGGAAGATATCGCCAAACATTGCACAAGTAAATATAAAAACGAAGAAAATGTGTGTAACAAAGTATTGTCGGTAGTTAAATGTAATATTAATAACATTGCTAAACAGTATAATTGAAATCCTAGTATGTTTTTGTTAAGGTTTACATGATACAATAAACTTATCAATTGTCAAGACGAAAACTTTTTTCTGACATTAATTATGGAAACTTCTTTCAATAAACAATTTGTAAAGTTGCATTTCGTCTCAGATCAAATAAGACAAAAGAAGAAAAACTGGAAACTTTCTTTGCACGTGAGAAAGGTTGAAAATCTGCAGCTTACCACCTAATATAGATAAAAACTCTTACAGAAACAGTATAATGCTTATGCCTTTTCGGTTTTGAATTTTTTTGGTTGAAGAGTTTTAACTGCGCCCAATTAAATCGCATTTGGGAGATCATTCACAGACGTTCTTTATTCCGGTGGATAAAATTAATGCTTTTTTGTTTTTGGATTTTGGGTAATTTATATAGTTTTCAATGTTTTAATTTGTACAGTGCTAGTGCAATGTTAAATATTGTCCATCTTGCTATTTCGATATGGCCATTTCATTTACAGAACGGGGCGTATACAGAGCTGTTAGAATTGGGTACAACTGAAAAGTAAAGTTAGAGCTTTCTCATAATGTCTCACGAATGGGTGGTTATCGTTTAAAATTTTAAGGGTTCGCAGGGGATGAGAGTTTTGAATAAAAGGAACAGCGCGAGAGCTTCAATCGCAACACCAAAACCTGTATTTCTTTTGATAGGTCTTAATGCATAGGATGGCGGAGAAGCAAGAATCTTCTGATCTCCATGACGAAGTCACATTTTTTATGCTCGTTAACCTATTTCCCGTCTCAAATAGGGTACATTGTTAGACCGCATTCCTGCTTTAGCCAAATTATATTTTTGGCCACTGAAGATAATGAAAAGATGTCATTTAAAAATTTCGTCGGTACATAGTAAGTGACCTCATTGTTTATGGAATTGCAAGGGTTTTAAGTATATTCCTGGAATCTCAACCAGCATCCATATCGTATCCATGCACGTAGTCATGGAGTGGCCAGGCTGGGTTCAGCCCAACGTAGAACGTACCTTGCACCTCTTGAAACTATGGTTAATTAATTTAATCTTTCTTTTACAAAATACGAAACAGAAATGTACCCTACTCAACATACTACATACACATTACAATTAGACTCTACCTACGTACAAAATCAAACAAGGAACCACAAAAATTACAACACTCACAATAGACAAATCCATATGTAAAAGTTGGCGTTCTTAAACAAATGTAACCTTTTAACCAGGGAAGGGGGAGTGTTTAGAGGTTCTCAAGAGATCTCTAAGGAATCCTGCAGCGATCCTTCACTAAGGCTGACACCTTCAGATTTCTATAGATCTTCCCCAAATTCTTAGAGGATCCTCTAAAATGTTTGGAACATTTTTAGAAAAATCAATAATTGGAAATAAACAAAAACTGCGCAATAAAAAGATTCGGGTATGATCATTCAAGGGTTTCCTCTAAACCTAAACGATTTTCATTAGGTTCGTTTTTATTTTCGGGCGAGTGTAATGCGCTAAATCCTCATCTACGACGAATAGGATCGGAATTTCTAATCCAGATTTGAGCATGTAAATTGTGGCTTTTCAACTCTTCCTGTTATGTCTAAGAATATACGTACCAAATTTGCTTCCAATCGGTTCAGCCGTTTAGTCGGAATTGATAGATTTTCCTTGATTCGGATTTCTGGTACGTACTTCAAAACGTCATTTTTTAACCCAATGCAAATCCTGCGGGTAGTAAAAAGGTGTGAACTCCCAAATGCGATTGAACTCTCAGACAACCAAAAAAAAATTCAAAATCGAACCGCATTTATACTGCAAAACTAAACAACTTTTATCTCTATTAGGCTCTTAATTACTATGTTATGCTGCAAATTTTCCACCCATCTTTATCACGTGCTAGGAAAGTTTCCAGTCTTTCTTCTTTTGTCTTATTTCATATGAGACGAAATGCAACTTTACAAATTGTGTTGAGAGAAGTTTGCATAATTAATGTCAGAGAAAAGGTTCATCCTGATAAGTGATAAGTTTATTGTATCATGTAAACCTTAACAAATAACAAATACATACTAGGATTTCATTTGTACTTTTTAGCAATGTTATTAATATTACATTTAACTACCGACAATACTTTGTCACACACATTTTCTTCGTTTTCATATTTACGTGTGCAATGTTTGGCGATATCTTCAGTTAAACCACTAATTTTTTCCGCCATTAATTTGGGAAGAAATTTGTGGTCAGAATCCATAAATCCCAATTTCTCATAGTGACATTTCGTAAAACAGTCAAGGTGAGCAATTGACATATCCATTTTTCCAAATATATCCGGTACTCGTTTTGGATCAATTCCACTTTCTGCTATGCAGTGTTCCATGTTTGGAACCATTAAGTTCTCCCAAGATTTAATTACCTCTTTGGGCAATTTAGATTCCTAAACAAAGCACATTGAACGAAAATAATAATTAAAGTTATTTTACCTACAGCATCAGGATCCAGATCTTCAGCGCCGGTTAGAGATGGCGATAACATCAAATAAAGCGCTAGACAAACTGCGACGAATTTCATTTTTACTACTAGTACACTGCCAACACTAGACTGCGCGTTTGGTTGTCATAAGCTTGTATTTATATCCAGCAACATTATATTTTATCTTACATCCATGAATTGATGGAAACCTTTCAATATTGATGTAGGTAATTATATGGTTTATCTTAAGTGGCTACTGGTATCAAGTAATTTGATGTGCTTATCATAATCGATCAACGCAAAGAACTTTTGATAAAATAGTAACCGTTGGACATTATAATACAAAATAAACAATTAAGGAACGTAACTCATAATGGATAGATTAACTGAACTGAAGAAGATACAAAAATCATTATAGTATTGTAAATTAACATCTATGTTTATATGGAAAATATTCCCCTGCATTTTACTTAGAGCCCAATTCGAATCTATAAATCCCAATTTCCCACAATAACGTTTTGTAAAAATTCATTAGTCAGATATTTTTGATATGTCTTTTGTCTCATTTTCACTCCTTAAAAAGAGTATTTTATGTTGTCGTTGTCGCACAGCAAATTGATTGCTCTTTTCAAATATCGTAAAAAATATAGGCCTTGCATTTGAAGAACAAAAGTTGCATCGAAAGCACATCACATAGTATGTTTTTTACAGAATCATGATTACAGATAATGGGTAACTTTAATGGCATGCTCATTAGTATTCTTTAGCAAGTGAATTAATATTGCACATAACCACTGAAAGTACTTTTTGGCAGAGATCTTCTTCCTTTTCATGTTTACGTACACATTTTTCGATTATACTTTCAGTCATCCCAGCACATTCCTTCGTTATTTTTTTTATGTCGAATTTTTGGTGGGAATCTACATATCCTAATCTTTCAAAGTGGCATCTTGCGAAACAGTCAAGACGATCAATTGACATATCCATTTTTTCAAATATATCTGGTACGCGTTTTGCATCAATTCCACTCTCTTGTATGCAATGCTCGTTGTTAGCCACCATTAAGCCCTCCCAGGATCTTATTATATCATCGGGTATTTTTGCCCTCTAAAGAATATTGAAAATCGTGAATTGAAGTTTTTATACTTACGACGCCGGCGTCCATCGTTTCCTTTGACTTTGGCGATGCCTGCATCAAATCAGGGCTCATTACCAAATAAATCGTTAAACATATGGCAAGAATCTTCATCTTGTTGTCACCATTGGCTAACTACATTTTTCGGGTTTATAACTGAGCAATAATGAAGAAAATGGATTGTTTATCATAATTACTTTGGCGATATTTATATTATGGACAGTTGTTTACTCATTAAAGTAAGCGATACAGATACCGCCTATGTCTTCAGCCATTCAATCTTATGAGGTACGATAAGACAAGAATTTTCCGCTCATACCGACTTAAAGCTTCAAATTTACATGGCATTTGCATCACGGAAAATCACAAAGAAAGTTACTATCGCCGATGTAGGCACACAAAATAGAAGTTTCATTATCTTCCAACTAATTTTAGCATTATTGTACTGCAGGGATAGTATAGTGATAACCCTTGAAAATATACAAGTTACCTACACGTTTATATTCTTCTGTGTAGAATACTTCCATCCGTGTAGGATCGGAAAAGAATAACCCTACCGCAGCGTGTCGTAAGAGACGACTATACAACTGCCGAATCCCTAGTGTTAGAATGTTCTGAGAAGTGTACGAAGTGTGAATGGCATGGAAGGCGCTCGACCTTGCTCAAGTTTTTTGGTTTTTTGTTTATGGTCCACCTTTTATAAGTATACCTATAGGCTGTTCCATAAAAGTCGTGTGTATGTCCACATGGTTTTAATGGCCCGCTCTATATCTTTTTGTCGTTTTTGATACATCTTAATAATAGAATTTTTGTATGGTTTTTCTTCATATTAACCGAGGCGAAAGTTGCCAGTTCGCAAGATTAATTAAAGTGGTATAAAGCTCCACCAACGAATATTTACGCGATACATTGTGGAAGGTGGAAAAACTCAGTTTCAGTGCGCGAATTCCTTGCGAAACTTTACGTAAGGGGGAGGTAAATTTAGTTCATGTGCCACTCGAAATTACCGCAGCGTGTCGTAAGAGACGACTATACAACTGCCGAATCCCTAGTGTTAGAATGTTCTGAGAAGTGTACGAAGTGTGAATGGCATGGAAGGCGCTCGACCTTGCTCAAGTTTTTTGGTTTTTTGTTTATGGTCCACCTTTTATAAGTATACCTATAGGCTGTTCCATAAAAGTCGTGTGTATGTCCACATGGTTTTAATGGCCCGCTCTATATCTTTTTGTCGTTTTTGATACATCTTAATAATAGAATTTTTGTATGGTTTTTCTTCATATTAACCGAGGCGAAAGTTGCCAGTTCGCAAGATTAATTAAAGTGGTATAAAGCTCCACCAACGAATATTTACGCGATACATTGTGGAAGGTGGAAAAACTCAGTTTCAGTGCGCGAATTCCTTGCGAAACTTTACGTAAGGGGGAGGTAAATTTAGTTCATGTGCCACTCGAAATTACAACGAAGAAAACTGTTAGTAAATTCAAATAATAGTAAAGTTCATTATTAGTGGCGCTAAAGAAAAAAGGCAGTTAGTGTAAGAGATTTCCTAAACGTTAACTCACGTTTTAATAAAGACAAAAAAAAATTGGCACAGGGTCGCGAAACCCTGCTGTAAATTGTTGAACAGAAAATTAAAATACCTTTCAAATAGGGTGCTACACGACCTCTTTTTTAATTTAAAATTTTTGAGGGGGTACTTATAATGCAGAGGGTGTGTTGGAAGAGTTTATGCTATTAACTTTAAACTTTATGAGGTCACAGTGTTGAGATCGCAACCTCCGCTGTATTTTTCAATTCAAATATGCACTAAAAGTGAAGAACAAAAATATGCAATTTGAAAATAATAGGATTAAGGTAACACCAAAAAGTGACAAGAAAAAACTTTAATCATACTAAGGCGTTTCTACACAAAAACTGTCATCGTCAGGGTACAACTAAAGGAAAACATGTTCCCTATAGTTGTTGATTGTGACAAACTGTTTATTAAAGTTTTGTGGTTTATTTTAAGTATTGATTTCCTTATTTTCCTTCCTTATTTTGAATTTTATTTCAGTAACCCACTAACCATATAAAACTACCGCGATTTTTAAAATAACTTCGGCAAAGTTGTAAATTGGTATGCTAAGTTTATGAAAAATGTAATTATTTTTATCTATCCGATTTAAATATGTTGCATATATTGATTAGGTTTCATTATCGCTCTTTCTTTGTTGTTTATTTTCGGTTCATGGAACACTTTGAGTAGTTTAACATTAATCCAATACATCAATCGCTTTTCACATTTTTCACATAAGCGCAGATTGTCGTAATCTCTACCATAATTTTTATCATGCAGCATTTAAGCCCTATTCTCGCATTATTGCGAACTTAATGCATTTTCCGCACATTAATCGACGCTTTACTTCTTCAAAAGTCCAAACTTGTTGGCAATTTATCACGTTTTCCGAGAGCGCAAAGATATTAAGCCGCGTATACACATTTCAATGTCACTCAGATTTTGATTAAAAGAATAAAAATTTATGCCATATTTAGTCACTAAATTAAGCCACTTTGGCGATGTGATAATGTCAAAGTTACGTCAAATATAAAACTGGACGGTCTATTAATATACGGACGTAAAAGTTAGGGAAAACGTGGATTAAGTGAATATACACTGTACAGTAGCGATATTTATTTTGACGTGCAATTTATTAGTCCCCTTTTTGTTACGCGCAGAACGTAATTGTCGTTAATTAGTTTAATAAATTGCATATCACGGGTCTAGAATTTAACGAAGGGATTTCAGTTATTCTAAATGTTCTGCACTTGCTCTCTAAAAGTGAACTTTTTCACTAGTCATGTACCAAATCTTAATGGCGCTTTGGAACTATCGATTGCATTCTCAAATTGAAACCAATGCTTATAATTTCAACAATAATGCTGTTTTAAACTAATTACCCTGAACAGACTCAAATCACAACTTAAAAGAATTTGGCTATTCGTTGAAAAGTTGGGGACGTTCAATTTTCAAAATATCAGAGCTTTCATTTCAAGAATAGCCACTTGATTACTATTTTCTAATACCCTGTGCAGCTGGTCTATTTTCGTTGGAAATTACAATAGCTCTATGGTATAATTGATTGGTTGCAAAAAAGTTCCGCAAGGTTACCTACCCTAAAATAAGTGAAGCAAAACCACCAAGAAACCGCGATCATAACAGCAACGTTAAATTGCGTAAACCCTTTGCTGAAGCTTTAATGGGTAGATTTGATGAAATATATCAACCAAATTAAGTTGAAATTGATTTTTGTTATTATATTAATCAGAAATGTCGTACGGGGGAAAAAGTACAAAGTTAAATTAATTTGCCATGCAGAACAATATAAGAAAGTTGTCTGTTTTTGACAATTATATTTTAAGACGCGTCTTTCACTGCATTAATTAAGTTTTGTAACTTTTTCGGGCTGTTTTTGCTTCTCTCTTTAGTTGTCAAATTACTTAATATAATTTACTCTTTAGTGAAAGGATTATTGCATCATTCGATTATGTCTAACGTAACATGACAATGCGTTAAGCGTCGAACTGCCCATTATTCAAATTTCAAGCTTTACGCTACCAACTAGAACTTGGATTAAGCTTTTATAGTTTGGTTTGGTCTATCAAAACCTCACGATTCCTGGTTCTGCTTTCATGTTCCGGGCGAGGTTCCGGGTTTCACTTTGTTGGCGGCAGATTTCAAAGTTCCCATCTAAGGTTGCAAGTTCTACCGTGACGAAGGTGCCCCTTTTTGTAACTACAAAATCGCATTTGAGTTTTTTTTAATCTTTGCAAATAACCAAGATATCACTGAAAAACTGAAAAAGTCAAATTTCGTTTTCATTCTCCTTATCTTAAACGGTCGAAAATGGACCGTTTGCACCTTTTATGCGCCCTTTTTTAGGGAAAATCCGAATCTGTTATCAGAATGTTTATAACAGTTAGATGTAGTCGTTTCTTATTTCTTATGGGCTCCATATTGGATTATTTTACGGAATGAAATATAGGACAAAAAAGAAATTAATTTGAATCCATCGCCGTCATAGCCATGTTGATTCAGCAAAATTTGATTTTGAAATTTTTCTTGTAAATTGATGT